TAGTAACTGACTCTGAGTTTAGATTACCTCTCTTTGTGAAACGGGTTTAACTTACCCCGCTTCACGGGTTTAAGTTACCTCCGTTTCTGAAACCGAAAACTCCGAGTTGCCCTCATTTCGGGGTTAACAAACTCTGAGTTTCGACAAAACCGCCTTCTTGAAATAGGCCCCTGCTCCTACCTGTCTCAGAATCAGTTCTCTCTTCTCTGGCCTTTTCCTAAGGCCTTGGTTGCTTAATGGGTTTCCAAAAACAGGTTTTAAAGGGATCATTTTGAGGGAGCAGTTACCCCTCATTTGCTCTATTTGAAGATTTCCTCTTTGCCACCACCAAAGACACATAATTCAATCAGACCCTACACAAATTTGTGGCTTGTCACTGAGCTCCAGCAAACCCCTGAACACAGTTCCTATTTATGCAGTGCCAAGCCTGTATCGTCCAGCCTCTGCCCTCTTTGTTTGTTCTTACTCAGTGAACACACAGGCATGACCACACCACTATATAGATTAACCTGGGATGTTCTCCCATTGGGAGTGTGCTCCACAGCCCTGGGCAAAAGTGTGTAAGACAAAGCCCATGGAAGCTCATGTGAAGGCATGTGGAAGCCAATAATCCTTCCCCCCTAACTACACTATGAGCCCATTCTGCAGCACAACTACTGAATGTGATCAGTGGCGGTGTCAAAGCATGTTATTGGTCCCGTGCTGATTTACTGAGCCAAGGTGAATGCTTCCCAATGGTTCCTCTCCTGCCCCTCCTTTGGGTTTTTATCCATTTTCCTATAACTTATCACACTACCTATTAGCGCAGTGAGGAGCCCAGAACGTGGTGCCAGAGCTACAGGAGGGCATAAAGCCTGACGCCACCACTAACCAAATCTGACCTCCCTTTTACCACTGGAGAATTTGTGGTGTTTTTTTGTACAGTTGTCACCAGAAAAAAAGAGACAAAAAGACAGGGCAGATGTGGGCAGAAATGTGTCCTCCACTGTCTTTTAAAACAACCACATGCACTACAAAGCCAGAGGCCTGCAGCTCTGCCTTTAACTAGTGGCTTTTGGACTGTGACCCCATAAAATGCAGCAACCCATCATCACAAGATATGACCAGTTAGAGCAGTCTTTGCTGCTAGGTTTGATTTATGTAAAATATTTTTAGAGGCCTACAGATGTAAAATTATCCAGTAATTTCCAGAGGGAGCAAAGTCAAAAAAAAATCAACATGGATGAGAAGTTCCAGAGGTGGTCAGAGTCATGGAAAACAAAGCTGTAGCTAGTGACTGTTTTGGTTATCAGCTAACCTGCGGATTATTTCCTTAATATCAGTTATTTATTTAGTGTGCAAAATGTCAAGAAATTGTGAAAAATGTACATCACCATTTTTCAGAGCCAAGGTGACAGATTGAAAATGTTTTTTCTGACCAGTAGTTTGAAACAAAGATATTTGAATTATAATAATAAAAAAATCTTCAAATATGAACATATGAGGTGCTTGAAACAAATGTTTTTGCCTGAATATTATAATAAATGATTATAATTATTGAAAACTGTTATTTCTCAGTCTTGTCTGTGCAGATTCTCAATCATCCAGGTCATAGTAAGCTGAAAGAACTTAGAAAAAATCAACTGGACTAGATTTCTAGGTTGAAGACCTTTCACCATCCAAGAGGCTTCATCAGTTCTGACTGACTGGTGTTGAGCCAGAGATATTTATCCCCCTCGGTGGTGTTTCAGTCCTTTTGAAGCCCAAGATTGTCCCCTAACAACTGAGTTGTTATAGCCCATTATTGGTGAGAGTCATTACATGTCGTTGAATCCTCCCCTGTGGACCAACGCCTATTGTCCTGGTGAGCATGTTTGGGCAGAGATCTCAAAACAGGATTGTAGATGGATGACAAGTTATGTCTTAGTCCACCACCCCTATTTAGGGAGGGGTGTTCTAGTTTTACAAAAATAGCTTCCTTGACTCCTCTCTCAAATCAGCGATGTTCTCTGGAGAGGATCTGGACTTCACTGTCCTCAAAAGAATGTCCTTTGTCCTTCAGGTGGAGGTGGACTGCTGACTCTGGTCCACTGGAGTTGGCCCTCCTGTGTTGGGCCATGCATTTGTGAAGCGGCTGCTTAGTTTCACCAATGTACAAGTCGTTACACTCCTGACTACACTTAATTGCATACACCACATCACTCTGTTTATGTCTGGGTGTTTTGTCCTTGGGGTGGACCAGTCTCTGCCGCAGGGTGTTCCCTGGTTTAAAGTTAACTGGGATATTGTGGTTGTGAAAGATCCTTTTTAACTTCTCTGATAAACCAGCCACATAAGGGATGACAGTGTTATCCCCTCTTGTTTCTGGTTTCTCCCTGTTGGTGTTGGGCCTCTTCCTTGCTTTGGTGAAGGCCCACTTAGGGTATCCACAAGCCCTAAGGGAGTTCTGGATGTGTAATTTCTCCTCCTTGGCCCCTTCTGCTGCATTTCCCATTCTTCCTCTCTCTTTTTCTATTTACCATTGCATTAAGTACAACACCGTGTTCACATTTTATACACCTTTATGAAACTGATAAATGCGCTTACTTTTGCATTCTTGCTTTATCACTCTCCTCCCCTTTTGTTGCTAGATGATGACACTTCACACTTGTCCTGTGCTTTTACATTCATATGTATTTTCTTTTGTCTCTGTTCAGACAATAAAGCACCTGCGAACAGCAGAGTTTAAACCCTTTGTAGTGTTTGTGAAGCCTCCAACTACTGAGAGACTGAGGGAGACCAGAAAAAATGCGAAACATATATCAGGCAAGGATGACAAGGGATCTGCCAAGCCATTCACGGTAAGATCATTTCTAGAAGGAAGCTTACAACTCACACAGAATCAGAGCTAGACATAGACCAGCATCATGTCTTGTTGAAACTGATTTCAACTGCTTGAAGTTCAAGATGGGTCAGGGACAAATGGGACAAAATGTAAACATTGGTTGGTTATTGCATTGTTTTAGATTAGAATTCTTTGATTATGTTGACTTACAAAGCCAAAAGATGATGCGGGTGCAGGACACCTGCGAACAACACCACCTGTATAAACAAAACATGAACAGAACAGTTATAAAATGTAATCTAACAAAAGTAAAGGGCAAATGTAAACACCTGTTGATTATTAGAGTTGGTTATTGCATTGTTTTATATTAGAATTCTTTGATTATGTTGAGTTACAAAGCCAAAATCTGTTTGTGGGTAAATAACACCCGCGAACACCACAAGTCTAAACTGAACATGAACAGAGCACTTAATAACCAAACACGCTAGAAATACATCTGGATGAATTTGAGTATAAGTGACTGTAGCTTGTGTTTAATTAACATTACAGGCCCAGGTTGGTTCACCAGATTTAAACTGTGTTTCTACCATCAGACCCTAATGAATTTTACACCCTGTGTTTTTCCTTAACTGTCCTGGACCTTCTTGCTTTCCTTTTTCAATGTATTTTTCCCTGTCGGTTCTCTGTTCAGAGGAGAGAGGCACTGGGCTCCTCTCACACACACGTAGCTAAACAGAGGGAGAGCAGACCACATGACGGATCAGTCCATAGCCAGTAACTGGGACTGTATGAGCAGTTTATCAAACAGTTGTAGAAAAAGCAGAACACTAACTTGGAGAAATTTGATATTTCCACCACATGGAAATTTAACCAATCACGAGCCACAGCTCTGCACAAACCCACCCTCTCCCCTCTCGTGCCCCTGGAACTTGATGTTAGTAAAACCTCCTGAGGGGTGCCACACCTCCAAAGCAGGAGGAGGGCAGTGGAAGCAAACAAAGTCATGTCCAGATTGATTTATAGACGGCTCTAGGAAGAAAGTTGGTTCTGCTTCTGAATTTTGTAGGCTTACAAAATTGGACCCATGTAGGGCTCTGTAATCAACATCACTTAACATGTGATAAACACACAAAGTGTTTATTGTCATATGCACAGTACAGAAAAGCATTTCCCTGTACAATGAAATTCTTACTTTGCTGTCCACATGAATGCCACACAATACAAATGAAATATAAAGTAGATAAATAAGTAACACAAAATCTAAGGCACTTTAAAGGAGCAAATGCAGAGATATAATAAAAATATATAAGAATATAATGTTATGGAAACGCTCGACACAAGGGTGAGCGAGCAGAGAAAACAGCAGACCCAGGCGGCTGGCTTCGGTGCAAGCAAAGATTTATTTACAGTGTTTAAGTAGTGCATACATATATACAAAGTGAAGTGGTGAATATAACCGGATGTCGACAAGCAGTAGCAGGAGTTATGGTACGTGGAGTGATGATGGACCGGGCTGCAGGGGTAGGAATCACTCCTGGGCTGGTCGGGCAGGAGATCCGGTTGACTGAGGAGGTAATAGGAGAGATACAGTTAAATTGGAGACTGTGCATCGACCTGTGATGGTGGTGGCTGGTGGAGCTGAGGGTGCCAGGATCCAGAGGAGAGGTCCAAACGTAGAAGGAAGCAGTGAACACACAAACATACGTAGAATAACGGAATAAACAAGAAAGAGCGATAATCCTAGGGAGGTCTGACGACGTAGAAAGAACTAGCAGGGGAGTGATGGGTGAGCAGAGTATAAATGAGGAGTGAGACAAAAGAGGTGCAGCTGATGAGTGTCAGAAAATCAGGGCAGGTGTGTCTAATCAATTAATCAGTGTGAGGGAGCTGACTAGGGCGAGAAAAGAGAAGAAAGGAAGGCGCAGCCGGGCAAACCTGACAGATAATGAGAGAATGTATGCTACATGGTAGCTGTATGTGCAGTAGTCAACAGTGAATGTGCAATTATACATGTGCAAACTTG